ACGGTTTGTGTTCGGCTCGCTAAGCGAACGAGCCGAACACAAACACAATTTTTGAGCTCGAAATATAAATGAGCCGAACACGAGTTGTTTTAGGGCTCGCTCGTGTTCGACTCGTTTCCACCCCTATGTGGTGGGCTTGGATGAACGAAAGAAAAGGATCCATGAAATTTAGCCAAATAGTTGGGATAAGAATTAAGATTTATTATTATAATAATTATAATAATAATAATTAATATTATTTAGGAAGATTTACATGCATACCACTCAATTCTCAAGAATTTACATCTCTAACACCTAAACTTCAATTTTTACATGCATACCACCTTACCTATGCATGAAAGGCTATATTTCACCCCTTAAAACTTAAAATGGCGGTATTTTTTATGTGATATGAAAGCTTTGGGTGGTATAGGTAAAATTTACGTGTTAGATATGTAAATACATAGGAATTGGGCGGTATGTATGCAAAATGCCTCTATTTTCTAATCAATTGGCCTTTCATTATTGTCTGGATCATTGCCATACAAACTTGAGAAATTAACTTTATAGAAACTTAGCACCAACCCAAGGAAAATGCTTCTAAATAAAGTAATATATTATTATTATATAATTTCATCAAAGTGGAAGACATTTTGTTGATTGTGAGGCACCAACCTGCAAAATTAAAAAAGATGAGGTTGATGAGTCACTGACACTTGTGAGTTGAGAATCACAATGATTCACATGGTATGATGTTAAATTATGGGATTAGGCTTGCTTAGCTAACCATTTCATTTTCAAGGGATTTCTTTTGGCTTAGATTATGCTTTCTTTTATCAAATGCTTTATTAAAAGTAATATGTGTTTGTTGGGGTTATTATATTAGTTTATGAGTTTGAATTGCCAAATCAAAATTATAGCTAACAAGTTGTTATGGTGGATATCATTATTGGCAAGATTGGATCAAAGTGGGTATTTCTAGAAGGGATGGAGAGGTGATGGGAGTAATATTTATTGAAGTTGTGATAGTCTAATAGGGGCATGCATGATTGAGGTTTGAGTATATTAAAATAAGACAATGGTTGCATATTAAGGAAAGATTAGACAAGAAATAGGAAAAAATTATATTTCAATTCTGTATGGTTTACGTATGTTGTATTTCACCCTGTATTATTTAAAAATTTGTTCAAAATCCACTAAGAGAAGTGATAGAGTTGAACAAGCTTAATTGTTTGTCATTATGCATGTTTATCTTATTAAGCCATGAGATTGAGATGGAGCATAGTTTAAACCTTTTATGGTATATATGAGCTTGAGCTCAAGTTAACTTGACTCAATGGCTTATTGAGCTAGCTTGTGCATGGTATTTTGATAAAAAAAAAACATACAATAGTTTTAAGTTGTCTTAATGCAATAAGTTTAGGCATTGATCTTCTTATGCATGCAAACGATAAATAATCGATTCGAACTACTTTTAAGATCCAAAGTGGTCATTGAAAGTATACAACGGCCTCACTAGAGAAAAGTATTGAACCCGGAGTATAAAGAAGAGACAAACAAATTCTCTAAGTTTTTTTTTTAAGGTTAGTTCAAGAAAATCTAGTTGAAATTTTTTAATAAAAGGTGAATCAAATTGAGCTAATGGAACACAATTCACTAAAAAAAAGATCATGATTTGATAAAGCTCATCGATGACCCTTTATTTATGGGTGAAGCTTATGACTAAAACTACAAAGTTAGAAATTTACTACAATCAGATAGGAAATGAATAAATTAAAATTCATGTAGCTATTTGAGTGGCAAGAGACTTGAGTTTGGCTCTAAAGAATGAGAACTTGAATGAGTTTAAGTATGTGGGAAAGTGCTTTTGGCGAGTTCTTCTAACGAGAATCTTTAATTGATCAATGAAAATCTTGGGCAAGTTAATAAGTTCTTTAGGAAAATGCATCTAATAATTAACCACTAAATAATTTCTTGGTTTGAGTTTAGCAACATGGTATGGAGGGTATAGTGAGAACCAACTCATATAATGAATACGATTGTTAAATCATGTTTTTTTCATGAAATTACACCCAAGAAATAAAGCAATAAGAGAGAGAGAGAGAGAGAGAGAGAGAGTTTTATTAGTTTATCATGGAAAGAGAATGAGATTTTATTTCCTTGATTTGGGATCATAATTCGTTTACATTTACTCTTTCTTTTTTTATAGGGATAATTTCTCTACATACAATAAATCTAGACCATCATTATGCCAAAAATTCCAGAGAAATATAACTGTCTATATACTCACATCATCATTAATTAAGATATTTTATGGGGATTTTCTCCCCAAAGTCAAATGGTTGTATGATAAATGGATCATGACTTAGAGTTTATCATCATCCTCTATTCTACAGTCCTTAGGAGCCTCTATTTTTGGTATTCATTGCATACAGTTGCTTCCGTTATGTTTTTTTTTCCTCTTTTATTTTTGAAGAAGTCGTCAGTCTGTCGATCGTCATATACTTCACTTCTCCAAATAAATCTTTCTTCCAAGTCCTATGAATAACTTGAAGAAGAGAGGAACCAGAAAAGATGGATATACGACAAATATGAGAGCAAGAAAAAAAAACAAAATGTGGAGATCCTACATGTGATAAACCCGCAATTATAGGTCAAGTATGTCCGCCTAGAAAAAGATAAACCCGCATTTAACACTGGCATTGTCAGGTCACAAGCCCCATAAGTGGAGAGTAGAGAGTTGTGTTAGGTAGTCAACAACTAGCATAAAATTTATCGAAAAATTTTAATATTAGGGCGTTTCGTGGAAGCGACGCACCATATGACATGAATACAATCAAACGTTTGTTAGGGCCACTGCAACGGTACCTGGTGTAGTGTTAAATAACCAAGGGTTCCCATGTTATGGGCAGATGTGGGTAAAGAAGTTAGTCAATGAAACTAATATTAGAATAGAATCTTGAAATATAGTTACTCTCATAGATAAATTAATGAAATTAGTTGATATTATGACTTATAGAAAAATAAACATCTTATGTATTGAGGAAACTAAATGGGTTGGAGAAAATGCTAAGGAGATTGATAGCATAGGTTTTAAACTTTTGTATTTAGGTAGAAGTCAACACTAGAAATGGAGTAGGTATCATAATAGATAAGAGTTTGAACAATAATGTTGTAAAAATTAGTAGAATTAGAGATAGAATTATAGCCCTTAAGATTGTTGTTGATACTATGATTTTAATGTTATAAATGCTTATGCTTCTCAAGTAGGTTTATATATGCTAAGAAAAGATATCAGTTCATGCATTGTACATTTTTTTTCTTGCAACTTGAGGTAACGAAGCATTTATTTTTAATGAAATGAAATTCTACTTTCTTCAAATTTATCTATTTTTAAGGGTTTTTCAAAGTAAATATGATTTTAGGAATTATGCTTATATCCTCTCATGGATATCAAATTTACTAATTTGACCTTAATTGCTTCATTCTATTGTCCTCCTTAAGAATAAAATTAGCTACCTTAAACTTTTACCAAAATGTTAATTCAATCTCCTATTGCAAACTAGATAGGGTTGGCATAGTCAAAGGTGGTTCTAAATAACCCTTGTTTGACTTATTTGAATCAATGATCATGATGAATATTTGAGAATTGATAGTATTGGTTTGATTTATTAATTTAGAGATATGACATCATTGAAAATTGAATTTCCACAGGAGCTCTTGTAACATAACTGAATAGACTAAGTTTTCTTACTCCAATAAAAATCAATTTAACCACTTCCAAAGAGGTTTAGAGTTGATTCCTTTAAAAAAGAAAAAAAAAATTGTAAATTTAAATATAAATTATATTTAAATTTATGTATTTGTATTTAAAATTGCTAAAGATATCTAAAAAATTACATTTAAATTTATGTATTTCTATTCTAGATAAAAGATCGATGTTTTGTTCTATATCTTTTTATAAGAAAATAAAAAAAAAAAAAAAAGATAAGGCAATTCGGATATATTTACATATCTAACACCAAAACATTCATATTTTCATGCATACCACTCGAATCTTTAGCATCCAATAAAAAATACCACATTTGCCATCTTTTAAAAGTGAAATACAAATTACCATTTATAAGTTTATGACAGTGGAGATATCAAATCTTAGGTGTAAATATGCAAATACATAAGAATTGTGTGTTATGTATGTAAATTTCCAAAAAGTATATTACGTCCCCTTGAAGTTTTGATGTTCTGAAAAAATGGTTTCATAACCATATTGCTCCATCACCGTATGTTTTTTAGCCCCTATATTTTTCTACTTTGGTCTTTACCAAGTTTTTCAATCTCCCAAGGAAGATTTATATACACACCACTTTATTCCAATGTATTTACATATCTAACACAAACATATATATATCGTGACTTGTTGGTATAGCAGACTCATTGAGATCGTAAGTCCCCTTAGGTCACGGGTTCGAATTCCCTTCTGACCAATTTGCCAATAGAGAAGGCGGTCCTTGAGTAGTTAAGCACATGAGGGTGGCTGGGGGCCACACACACACACACACACACGAGGGTGGCTGGGGGTTAAGCACATGAGGGTGGCTGGGGGCCACAGACACACACAGACACACAGCGGTCCTTGGGTAGTTAAGCACATGAGGGATTTCGATAAAACCACACACACACACACACAATAAAAAAATAAAAAAGTGTTGTCCCCACTTTCATTTTATAGAAAGCATTACTGTTCTCACCCAAAAATAAAAAAATAAAAAAGTGTTGTCCCACTTTCATTTTATGCAAAAGATATGTTTATAAGAAAACAAATTAAAGTTTTGCTGAATGTTTGCAACAATTATATTTGGATATTTTAGATATTAGGCTGTCTAGAATCTATTGAGGCATGCCTTTTTGTGGGCCATGGTGTCAATTATGTTCACAATATAGAGATGAACATCTCACTTAATTACAGCTTCAAAGCATAAACTAATCTATCAATATAACAAGTATAATAAATCATAATCTTCCTTAATGTTAATCCAGACAGATTTCAGTGCCTTCATACTCAAGACTAATCTATCAATATGCCAAGTATAATAAATCATAATGTTCCTTAATGTTAATCTAGACAGATTTCAGTACAACCATGTCATCAATAATCGAGAGTCTCTCTTCGAGGTGTCCTTAAGAATCTGGTTTATTGATGAGCCGAGTTCGAGTAAACATGTCATTTGTTCATAACTTATTCAACTTAATTCAAATTTTCATCTGTTTGAACACATAAACATGTAAATATTTTATAACTCCATTGAAATAAATCAGCCAAAGATTACAGAACTGAATAGCTATCAGATGAAAGATGAGAGAAACAAATATAGGATAAAAGGACAATGAAAGAAGAAAGGTTTTATTTTTTCATAAATTAAGAAAATAAAAAAGTTAATTAATTAAGTATTCACAATTACCGACACAAGTAAGCTTCTCCATGATTCCTCATAGAAGCTGAATCATACATGAGTAAAAGAGGATCTACTGCGTTTTCTTCTTTGCTGGAGGCTTTTGGTACAAAAATATCTGACTCAAGATGGTGCCATTTGTCAAAATACCAAGAACAGAACCCAAAACAACTGATAAAAAGTTAAGGAAATTACACATGCAAGATAATTTCTATTAAATAAAAAAGAAATGCTCACAATTACATTATGTTTGAGTATATTCATGCAAAATTTCAGCTTATTATTTGGCTGCATGTGCATACAAGTGTCGATAAATATTGCAATATAACAAACAAATGAATAATAAAACAAAGGGGTAGTAAGATACATACCACCCAAATCCTACGTATTTACATATCTGGCACCTAAATTTTGCTTTATTACATTTATACAACCCAAATCTTTCATATCACATAAAAAATACAACAATTACAACTTCAAAAAGTGAAATACACCTTTTCATGCATAGGTAAAGTTGTATGCATGAAAAAATTGAAGTTTAGGAGTTAGATATGTAAATAGACAAATCTTCCTAAAACAAATGATTCAAAAAAGAGCAAACTCAGTACCCAATACAGTAGTGTTACCAGACTACTCATCCAGGATTTACTTAATTGGAGAAAACAATGGAATTTATTGTTTTGGAATATTTAGTCAATACATTCAACAGCCAAGAATATAAGACTCGCAAATTATCATTGAAACTTAAGCCTTCATGTGAGATGACATCATGAAAATTAATATATATCAGAGGAAAAGCTTTTTCTTTTAACAGACACTACAGAGTTGCTTTATTTGTAATAGGGAAATAAGAAATGAAATTTTGAGATTGATAACATATTGCCACAGTAGTCATAAGTAATAAAAATCTCATAATAGCCTCATAAATCACATCATTTCATATGCAGAATAAGTCATGGCTCTATATCAAGCATCAATAACGGATCTTGCCATAATAATTTGTTTATTATTTTTTCAGTAAATAAATTATCTCCAACAAAAATAAAATATTTAAAAAATGACTTCATGTTTTCAACTAAAGCCGATAAAATAGAGATCTAAGAAGGCCCCACATCTTCGTGTTCAATCCCATAGTTTAGTAACTCTATGACATGAGCCTATTTTATATACATAAGAATGCGAAAAACAATCTCTCAATGTTTCAACTTTAGATTTTGCATGTCTGTTTAGAATTCCTACAACAAAGGAAATATCAAGTCTAATAACAATCAAATCAAGTTTGCATGTCCGGCTTCTCATAGCCATAAATAGACCAAGTATTCATGACAATATTAGCAATTTTACGACCTAGAAGTACATTTTTCTCAATACGATCAGTAACATCTTTTCTGAGGAATAGATATCCTCTTTTTTGTGGAAAATTACAACTCCAGAAAAAAATCATTTTTAGGCTTCATAATTTTTTTAATAATAAAAATCTTTTACAAGTGTTATTTTATCTAAATGATGCCTTTTTTATTACTCTCAGTGAAGAATATGTCGAAAACATACACAAACAAAATGAATGAGCCTAATGTTGTATATCTTAAAAAGATGGAACAATGAATGGTGCTATTGCAAAGGCCAAACTAAGCAAGAGTTCAGCTAAATTTCCTGGTCCAAGCCCGAGGGCTTAAGCCTACAGATGTCATTCTTGAGCAGATAAGTGATTCTCCTCCAGAGCAAACACACCCAGTTAGTTGGTCCATACAAACTTCCTTTCTAGGATCTCCATTAATAGATAGAGAATAAATCTATATTAAGTTAGCGTGCAACTGAGGTGTCAACATATTCTATCCCATGGAATTATGTGAGCTATTTGGGAACTAATCGTGCTTTGTATCGATCAAATGATTAGAATAAAATTTAGCAATTAACACTAATTAGCAAGCAATCAGCTTAATCGCACAAGAGGAAACAACCAATTCCCAAATGATGCGACTGGCTAAAGCACTTGTTTCAACATACATAAAGGATCTGCAGTACTTTCTAATGCATCTTAGGAAAGGATAGGTGATGCAGAAAAATATAAGATTGTTTATATAAATGAAAATTATATTTTGTAGTGTTGACTTGAGCAGTGTAATAATATATGATCATAATAAAGGAAAAATTATAAGAACCAAGTCAAGAATAAAATAAAAATTAAATTTTCAAGCAAATGAAATCAAAGATCCATTTATAAAAGCCAGAATAAGAGCCGAAGAAAACGCTCACTCAAAATCGGCCACAAGAGCTCCATCAAAAAGAATGATTGGCTTTGTATTTTATCATTTAAATTTCATATTTAGTTTCTAGAACTTCTAACTTTTCAAATTTAGAGACTTGTATAGAGTGACCAAAAAAATGAAAAATAATTTAATAATATGATTACACCTTTCTCCATTAATGACCACCAATGTTTCCCTCCAAAGTTTCCTACGTTTTATTTTAAGTTTGCTTAACTAAAGTTCTATAAATAGATCTAGAATTTTAATTAGTTATATCAATTATTAAATGAATATTTGAGTGAACTTTTCTCTCTTTTTTCTTTGTGCAACAAGTGTATTTTTTTAGTGAGATTAGGTAATTATCCTTTTTTTTTCTATTTTTAATTTTCGTTTGTTATTAATCTCAAGTCGGTCTCTCAAACTTACTAAAATCAACTCAACATCTTTAGAATTATAAAATACCATCTACTATCCAACCCAACCCTCAAAGTCACTCAAAAATTTTCTCTTAGAAGCTCGGCTAAGCTAGATAAGACTAATACTTAGTCTTGTCATTTACCTCTTGACACTTGCATAAACTCCTCAAAATTTAATAATTCTACTACATATCACAACTCCATATTTTAAGACAACTAATAAAAATTTACATCCATTTATCTAACTTTGAACTACTTTCCTAAATAAGATCTTCCAAATCAGCCCAAATTAGTATAATCTAAACTAATCTAGGCATTCCAACCACTAGACCAAACTAAACCTTTAAACAACTCACCTAAATCTTTAGATCTCATATTTACATGCTAAACTAAATATTTAAAGCCTTTGCTATCCTTTAATATCACCAAAAGGCTACCCAACACATCATATTTAGTATCAGCATGAATCTAAAAAGGAGAAATGGAACACTAAGATTCCTTGGGGAGTTTTTCTCTTGTGATGTGTCTAATGGCTCAAATCGCTAAAATCATAATTATAATAATTTTCACCACCCTTGATAAATTAGATATTAGATTTCAATGAGGATGGTAAAGGCCTTGAATCATTAGTTTAACATATAAAGATGATAGTTGGAATTTAAGGGTTAAGTATGGTATATTGGTTATAATGCATGGAATAATCTAGATTTTGCTTGTTTGGGCTGGTTTAGGGGTTGTTTGGCGCCACGTTTTTTGTGCGGCGCGACCCCAATAAGCAAATTTTTTTTACTATTTGAAAAACTTGTTGCGTGGGCGTTTTTAAAAAATTCAAACGAAACGATTCGTATTAATTTCTCACCCTCTTTTTACTACCCCACCCCTCCCTCCCCTCTCTCACGACCGAGTTTCTCTCTCGTCACCCTAGAGATGTGATCCCCGTTTGCCTCCTCCTGTCTAATCCGTGGGTTTTGCTTCATCTCTGATTGGCTTCTTTGCTCTCCCTATACCCTCTGTTCTTTGTCTCTGTTTGGCTCATTTGCTCTCCCTCGTCCCACGATATTCTCTACCACTATTCTCTGGCATTATGATTTTGCGATGGTTTTCTAAGCTTTATTTGGTCGTTGATTTTCGTCTGGTTGTTCACTGCTATTGGATTTTGCAATTTATGTGATTTTGCATTGGTATTGGATTTCCTTTATTGTTGATAGGGTGTTGACTTTTACTATGAATTGGGTGGTGCTGTGGTGGTTGTGGTTGTGCAGTGGGGAGGAGTACTTGTGTTGTGATTGTGCTATGGTGGTGCTGTGGTGAGGACTGTGGGTTGTGGTGGCTATGTTGGGTGTTTGTGGTGTAATGGTTGTGGGTTGGGTATTTTTGACGTTTTGTCTTATGGTGAAGTGGTTGCGGTTTGTGTGTAGAGGTGTGGTTGGGTGGTTGTGGTGTGGTGGGTGTGTTGTGAGTTGTGGTGGTTGTGTTGTGGGTTGTGGTGGCTGTGTTGTGGGATGTGTGAAGTTTTGGTGGCTGTGAGTTCGGTCGATGTGGTGTGGGTTGTGGTGGCTATATTGTGGGTTGTGGTGGTTGTGATGTGGGTTGTGGTGGTTGTGTTGTGGGTTATGGTGATTGTGATGAGGGTGGGTGGTTGTAGTTTTGTGTATTGTGGTGTGGTGGCTGTAGGATGTGTGTGAAGGTGCGGTTGAGTGTTTATAGTGTGGTGGTTGTGGGTTGGGTGGTTGTGGGGTAGTGTTTTGTGGTGTGGTGGCTGTGGGTTATGTGTATATGTGTGGTTGAGTGGTTGGGGTGTAGTGGTTGTGGGTTGGGTGGTTGTGATGTGTGTTGGGGAGACAGTGTTGTAGGTTGTGGTGGTTGTGTTGTGAAATGGGTGTAAATGGGGCAAAGTTTGATTTGTTTCCTTCCATATAACTTATACTTGAAAAAGGATTGGGAAGCGTGGTATGTTTGTAAATAGGGCAAAGTTTTAATTTGATAGGCTCCAAAAAATGAGAAAAAGGTATTTATAAAATAGTTATTACAAATGATTGTGGTTGGAGGTGGTTGGAGGTGGAGGTGTGGTTGCGGTTGTGTTGTGGAGGTGTGGCTGTGGATTTATTGTGGTGGATATGGATGTGTGTGAAGGTGGTTGTGATGATTGTGGATGTGTGTGGAGGTGTAGGTTGTGGTTGTGTGTGGAGGTGTGGCTAGATTGTGGGTTGTGGTTGTCTAGTTGTGTTGGCTCAAGTGTGAGTTGTGGTTGTGTGTGGAGGTCTAGCTCTGTGTGGGGGTGGTTGTGATGCCTGTGGTTGTGTGTGGAGGTCTGGCTTTGTGTGGAGGTGGTTGTGGTGCCTATGGTTGTGTGTGGAGCTGTTGTTGGGTTGTGTTATGGTTGTTGTGGTTGTGGGTTGTGGGTTGTGGGTTGTGGGTTGTGGGTTGTGGTTGTCTAGTTGCGTTGGCTCATGTGTAGGTTGTGGATGTATGTGGAGGTCTGGCTCTGTGTGGAGGTGGTTGTGGT